ATGACGTCAAACGATGACAGTGCGGGAGGTCACCCCCCCCCCCGCTACTCCCCCCGCGCCCCGCCCCTCCCCCCCCAGCACCCCGCCCCTCCCCCCCCGCACCCCCCCCGCACCCCGCCCCCATCACATCGCCCTCCAAACCGCAGTGCATCATCAGCCGTGGACCTCCTCTCAGTGATGAATGACGCGTGGGGGTGGTGAGACGGGCGGACAGGGTTACTCCCCACCCTGCGATTAATGATCACCGCTGTGACACGGGGTGGGTGGGGGTGGGTGGGGGGGTGGGGGGGTGGGTGGGGGGGTGGGTGGGTGGGGGGGTGGGGGTGGGGGGAGATAGCCCAGGGGGGGGTAAGAGATGGGGATTTGGAGGGTGGGGGGGTGGGGGGTGAGAGTTGAGCCCCCACGGCATGATGAATGATCCATCTCCCTGGTGCTGGCTGTGGGCTCCCAGACGCCACGGATCGCAGTCGGTGGTGAAAATCACTCGCTCGTTACTCCTACTTGTGTTGGGACACGGGAGAGAGAGGAGGGGTGGGAGAGAGAGAGACGAGGGAGAGTGATGGGGGAGATGGGTGTGAGTGTGTGTGAGTGAGCGGGAGAGGGGGGTGGGGGAGAGAGAGTTACATAAAGCAAAGCATTTAATAAAACATAAGAAAAATAAAAATAAAAAAATAAAAATAAAAAAATAAAAATGATGAACGAAGCAAAGTGCCGACTACACCGAGCATCCTCTTGTTTCCACTGATCGTAAAAAAGAGAGAGATGAGGGAGAGTGATGGGGGAGAGGGGTGTGTGTGAGTGTGTGAGTGAGTGAGCGGCAGAGAGGTGGCGTGGAGAGAGAGAGAGATGGGAGGATGTAGAGGGACGGGACAGACAGGGGAGAGTACGGGTGGTGGGGGAGATGGGACAGAGAGAGAGATGGTAGGGAGAGAGGGAGAAAGAGGTTAGAGAAGGGAGAGAAAAGAGAGAGATGGGAGCAAGAGGTGACATGGCGAGAGGGGAGACAGACATGGGGAGAGAGAGAGAGTGGAGAGGGTAGAAATGAGGAGGGAGAGAAATGGGACAGAGGGAGAGAGCGGGCGAATTCCCTCTTTGCATCTCTCAATGTCAGCCTCCCACGATTTCTCTCCACGTCTTTCCGTGTCCCCACCATTCGCTCTCCGCTGCTCACTGCTCATCTCTCTAAAAATGAGTGTGTAAAACATCGCCACCGGGGAGACAAAGGCGACCGGGTCGTGATTGCTGGCCACCCACCCCCTCGTGTGCCTCCGCGTGTGTGAGACTGAGTGAGTGGAGTGTGTTTGCCCCCCGTTCTGCATGGGTTTCTCTCCGCTTTCCTCCCGTAGGCCAATGGACATCCATAATTATCACCGGTATCGGGCAAAGCATCCCCAATGCTGATCGATGAGCCACCGACGACTCAATTAGGATCAGGCAGCAGCATCAGCGGGCAGCAGCATCAGCGGGCAGCATCAGCATCATCAGTAGCAGCAGCATCAGCAGCAGCATCATCAGTAGCAGCAGCATCAGTAGCAGCAGCATCAGTAGCAGCAGCGGGCAGCAGCAGCAGCAGCGGGCAGCAGCAGCATCAGCAGCAGCGGGCGGCAGCAGCATCAGCATCAGCAGCAGCGGGCAGCAGCAGCAGCAGCGGGCAGCAGCAGCGGGCAGCAGCAGCATCAGCAGCAGCAGCAGCGGGCAGCAGCAGCAGCGGGCAGCAGCAGCAGCGGGCAGCAGCAGCAGCAGCGGGCAGCAGCGGGCAGCAGCAACAGCAGCAGCAACAGCAGTAGCAGCAGCAGGCAGCAGCAGCAGCAGCAGCAGCGGGCAGCAGCAGCGGGCAGCAGCAGCAGCGGGCAGCGGCAGCAGCATCATCAGTAGCAGCAGCGGGCAGCAGCAGCAGCGGGCAGCAGCAGCAGCGGGCAGCAGCAGCAGCAGCAACAGCAGCAGCGGGCAGCAGCAGCAGCGGGCAGCAGCAGCAGCAGCAACAGCAACATCAGCGGGCAGCAGCAGCAGCGGGCAGCAGCAACAGCAGCAGCAGCGGGCAGCAGCAACAGCAGCAACAGCAGCAGCAGCGGGCAGCAGCGGCAGCAGCGGGCAGCAGCAGCGGGCAGCAGCAGCATCAGCAGCGGGCAGCAGCAGAAAAATGTCAGCTCGATTGGATCACGGGAAGTGGGTTAAAAAACGACCGAAAGATTTGCACGGTCGTAAGCAAGCAAGCAAGCACGCAAGCAAGTGAACTTAATATAAGTATAACCCGTAAAAACAAAGTTTTTCACTATAAATCCTTTATATGCGTGGCGGCTAGAGTCCTCTCGTCCTCTGGCTTGAGATGGCTGCCACCTATGGGTCAGATGATTGTCTGCCAGTATTAAACAATTGGTAATTAAATATTTAATTTGTTTTCCCTAAACAGTGTAAAATTTTGGAGAAAAAAAATTCACGAACATTAATTATCACGCACAACGAGTCTGTGTGCAAAATGTCAGCTCGATTGGATCACGGGAAGTGGGTTAAAAAACGACCGAAAGATTTGCACGGTCGTAAGCAAGCAAGCGAGCACGCAAGCAAGTGAACTTAATATAAAGGATTTAATAAAGGAGTCACGTTGACAAAAGACAATTTAGTTCACTGCTTTAGCCCACCGGTGTGTTGAAGCGTGAAACCACAACAATTTACAATTTGAGTACGACGTTTCCTGCTGCTGCTGCTGCTCTATATAAGCAGCAGGGTGACGTCATCATTAATTAATCATTAATTAATGATGACGTCACCCTGCTGCTGCTCTATATATGAACGGGAGACACAGCAGAGCCTCACCATTCTGGCGAATTGCCCGATGATGCTGGATGCAATTACCAGCGAAACGTCGTACTACTCAAATTGTAAATGTTGTGGTTTCACACTTCAACACACCGGTGGGCTAAAGCGGTGAACTAAATTGTCTTTTGTCAACGTGACACTTTTTTACTGATTGGCCGTGTCGGGTGGTGGAGGGTTACGACACATTTATAAATAACGCGATCTAAACCCAAAAAAACGTTGATTATGAATAATATTGGTCGCGAAAGCCTGCTACGTGTTAAACTTAATATAAAGGATTTTTAAAAAAAGGTCCCGTGGAAAAATAAAAAAACACATATATATAATTATAACAATAATAACCAATCGTTCATTGACATCCCCGTCGCGAGGGGCAGGGTCCTTCTCGAAACGACTCGTAATATCCCCTGCGAGTCACCCAGTCACCGGTTCAACGTCTCTCCCATCGCAGATGATCGTCACCGCGTTCGACTCATCTCCGTCCGACCCATCAACCCCTTTTACCCTCCCCTCCGCCCGCTCCAAACCACCCCCTCGTTAATTCGTTTTGGTTAACAGAGCGTAGCATAAACTCTAGATTTGAAGCTTTCGTGACTGCAAGGATTCATATTCTTAGGTGTTTTCGGTAAAGTCCCGTAGGTAAAACATTAAAATTAATAAAAGTAAAATAAAATAAAAATCACGACGTTTCGGAGGCAACACAAGCCTCGGTCCCACCTGATGACGGAGACTTGTGTTGCCTCCGAAACGTCGTGATTTTTATTTTATTTTACTTTTATTAATTTTAATGTTTTACCTACCTGGTGACTTCACCGAAAACACCTAAGAATACGCAGCATAAACTCTTCAGGGAGGAGGGAGGTCATGGTGCCGATCGAGAGAGGGAGGGGGAGATTGGTGAAGTATGGTGACGACGAGAGCGTGGCGACTGGGAGATGGAGGCCATCAAAGTCTCTGTCTCTGAACGTCTCTCAACGTCCATCAACGTCCATCAACGTCCATCAAAGTCTCTGTCTCTGAACGTCCATCAACGTCCATCAACGTCCATCAACGTCCATCAAAGTCTCTGTCTCTGAACGTCCATCAACGTCCATCAACGTCCATCAACGTCTTTGTCTCTGAACGTCCATCAACGTCTCTGAACGTCCATCAACGTCCATCAACGTCTCTGTCTCTGAACGTCCATCAACGTCCATCAACGTCTCTCAACGTCCATCAACGTCTCTGTCTCTGAACGTCCATCAACGTCCATCAACGTCTCTCAACGTCCATCAACGTCTCTGTCTCTGAACGTCCATCAACGTCCATCAACGTCTCTCAACGTCCATCAACGTCTCTGTCTCTGAACGTCCATCAACGTCCATCAACGTCTCTCAACGTCCATCAACGTCTCTGTCTCTCAACGTCAATCAACGTCCATCAACGTCTCTCAACGTCCATCAACGTCCATCAACGTCCATCAACGTCCATCAACGTCCATCAACGTCTCTCGACGTCCATCAACGTCCATCAACGTCCATCAACGTCTCTGTCTCTCAACGTCAATCAACGTCCATCAACGTCCATCAACGTCTCTCAACGTCCATCAACGTCCATCAACGTCTCTCAACGTCCATCAACGTCTCTCGACGTCCATCAACGTCCATCAACGTCCATCAACGTCTCTGTCTCTCAACGTCCATCAACGTCCATCAACGTCTCTCAACGTCTCTCAACGTCCATCAACGTCCATCAACGTCTCTCAACGTCTCTCAACGTCCATCAACGTCCATCAACGTCTCTCAACGTCCATCAACGTCTCTCGACGTCCATCAACGTCCATCAACGTCTCTGTCTCTCAACGTCCATCAACGTCCATCAACGTCCATCAACGTCTCTGTCTCTCAACGTCCATCAACGTCCATCAACGTCTCTGTCTCTCAACGTCAATCAACGTCCATCAACGTCTCTCGACGTCCATCAACGTCCATCAACGTCTCTGTCTCTGAACGCCTCTAAACGCGACGCCCGCGTCTCGCTGGCATCGCGACCGAAGGCTCCGTCTCCCCCCATCGCACACAGGAGCTGACGAGGCACCCCCCCCCCCTCCCCACAATTAATTATGCTAATTACCCTAACTTAATTACTCTGCTGTCACAAGCTGGAGCGCAAGCCTCGCTGCTCTCCTCCCTGGGCTGGGAATTTGGATCGTGGTGGTGGTGGTGGGGTGAGGATGGGCGATTGGGATACCTGGTTAGTGCGTGCGTGTGTCTGTGTGGGTGTTTGTGTGCGTGTGTCTGTGTGTGTGTGTTTGTGTGTCTGTGTGGGGAGCGGTAGTATAGCGGTTAGCGCGTTGCGCTATGAACCTGGCGACCCGGGTTCGATTCCCGTTCACGGCCAACACCGGTGACGATTATCCGAATCGGTCCTGGGCCTCCCCTAGGTCGACTCAGCCTGAAATGAGTACCTGGTGCGGTGTAAACATCGCCGCTGGGGAGACAAAGGCGGTCGGGCGTGGTGCTGGCCACCCACCCCCTCGTGTACCGTTCCGGCCTTTATAGGTGCTCGCTAACAGCACTTGCCCCTACAGTCTGTTAAGGCTATACGGGGGATCTTTGTGTGTGTGTGTGTGTCTGTGTGCGGGGAAGGAGCGGTAGTGTAGCGGTCAGCGCTACACTGCGCTATGAACCCGGCAACCCGAGTTCGATTCCCGCTCACGGCCAACGCCAGTGACGATTATCTGAACCGGTCCTGGGCCTCTCCTAGGTCGACTCAGCATCAAATGAGTACCTGGTGCGGTCTGTAAACATCGCCACTGGGGAGACAAAGGCGGTCGGGCGTGGTGCTGGCCACCCACCCCCTCGTGTGCCGTGCCGGCCTTCATAGGTGCTCGCTAACAGCACTTGCCCCAACAGCCTGTTAAGGCTGTACGGGGGATCTTTGTCTCAGGCTAGCAGCTGCAGGAGGCACAGTCCCGAAACGTCACAGACACCGCCGTGGCTGATCGAGGACGAGGTGGTCAGGCATCGACGATGAGAAAGCGGCCAGCAGGCCAGTGACGTCACCACAGCGTCTGTGCCAGGCTAGGTGCATTGTGAGACCTCGTGAAGTGACAGGTCAGACCCAGGTGCCATGCGTTGACTGATTTTTATTTTTATTTTATTTTACTTTTATTAATTTTAATTTTTTACCAACGTGACTTTACCGAAAAAAACCTAAGAATATGAATCATTGCAGTCACGAAAGCTTCAAAGCTAGAATGCCCAGTAGCGTCCTTCACGAGCCTCCTACACAGACGCCGATCTTGACACCGCTGGTGCCAGGATCGGCAAGTCCACTCAACTCCACGTCCTCCTGTACCACATCACTCCATCTCTTCTCCAGCCCGTGTCTCGTCCGTTCAGCCCCCTCTACCCAGCCAAACAGAAGCTGTTTAGGCATGCGGTGGCTGGGCATGCGGGCTACGTGACCCAGCCAACGCAGCCTCGCCTGCCGGAGGAGCTCACTGATGGGAATGTGTCCAGATCTTTCAAGGATTTGTGAGCTCTTCACACAATCCAGCCTCTAGGTTAAACCCATGATGGATCGTAGACACGCCACATCGCATATGCTCCATGAGAGGGGTCCACGTTTCGCAAGCGTTCAGAAGGGAGGGCACGACTGTGGCTTAGAAGACCCGAAGCTTCGTGTGGAGCGACAGGCCACGTAGCTTCCACAAAGCAGCGTTACACAGCCGATGAAAAGATCCTGCCGCTCGAGCGAGTTCACTGACACACTCTCACAACACAGTCTGCAGAACAGGGGGCAGAACGCACCAACTGCACACATTGAAAGAGCGCCCGAGTCGGGAATCGAACCCAGGCTCCTGCTCGCTGTGGTGCACGAGCGTCACCAACTGCTGCCACCATGCCGCCCGATTTGAGTATCCGATGTTTTTATGCAGTCGATATTCTAATTGCTGAGTGAATAGCCGAGACGATTATTGAATCGTGGCGTACACGTGCCAGGTTATGGCAGAGCGCCCGCAATAGTGTGTGAATATTTGTCTTTGTGTGTTATGAAGGTCGACTCAGCCTCGAACGAGTACTTTGTGCAGTGCGTAAAAACATCGCCACTAGGGAGACAAAGGCGGCCGGGCGTGGTGCTGGCCACCCACCCCCTCGCGTGCCGTGCCGGTAGCCTTCATAGGCGCACGCTAACAGCACTTGCCCCGACAGTCTGCTCGGGCTATACGGGGGATCTTTGTCTTTGTTTTGTGTTATGAAGAAGGGTCATTACCCGAAACGTCGCAAACATTATCATTATTATTTGTTTATCTGTCAGCGGTCGGGAACCTATGGCTCGCGAGCCATATATGGCTCTTCCGGTGACGGCATATGGCTCCCAGACAATTTTGAGTTGAAAAAAATAAAATAAAAAATCAGTTTGGAACTGATTTTAAAATACTTGTGATATTGCTTAATAATACCGTGTCATTTTAAAGTGAACAGAAATTAGTTTTGAAGATACATTTCACGGGTCACGGGGCCTCAACGCCTGCATGAAGCTCAACCTCACCACGTCGTATGAACCAGACTACAAGGCCATCAGCAAAACCATGCAGCACCAGAAGTCGCATTAAAACTAAGACATTTAATTTATTATACGTTAAAAATACTATAAGGCTCTCAATGCAATATATTTAGAAATATTTGGCTTTTATGGCTCTCCCAGTCAAAAAGGTCCCCGACCCCTGCTCTATGTTAAGGCCGCATTGTTATCATTTCTGAGTTCAAATCGCTAATTCCGCCCTGCGTTCCATTCGGTGCGGTGTGTCCCGCTTGACGACGGTCCCGGTCTGCCCTCTGCTGTTGAATTGGTGCCATTGACAGCTCATGCCATGGCCCAGGCAAAATGTCCCCGTGGTACGTTGAGAAAGAATTGTCACTGCCGGTAATATTCTCATTGACAAGGCTATTAATTCTAGATTTTAAGCTTTCGTGACTGCAATGATTTATACTTTTTGTTTTTTTTTACGGTAAAGTCACGTAGGTAAAAAAAAAATCTAATAAAATAAATGAAAACAACTAAATGAAATTAAATGACGACGTTTCGGGCACAACACAAGCGTCCTTCTTCAGGTGGGGACAACGTAGCGAAGGCACAACCGCTTAAGTGTGTCTAAGAGATGGCTGTGGCGAGGAATTATATAGTCGTGGAGGATGAAGGGAGGGGCCCCCTGCATCACGAAGCTTCAGTTTGAACTCAATGCGGTTGTGCTTTCGCTACGCTGTCCCCACCTGAAGAAGGACGCTAGTGTTGCGCCCGAAACGTCGTGATTTAATTTAGTTGTTTTCATTTATTTTATTTTTTACCTACGTGACTTTACCGAAAAAACCAAAGAGGACAAAGCTATTGTTGTCCACAGATCTACTCTCTATTTGTCTGACCTGTTGTTGTTGTCGTCGTCGTTGTTACCGTTGGACGAGCCTCAAAATCTCCGACGAGTATCTGGTTGATAATTGTTTTTTTACCCTTTTATGTGGCAACAAAACTGACACCTTTTTTTAAAATCCTTTATATTAAGTTCGCGTGCGTGCTTGCTTGCTTAGGACCGTGCAAATCTTTCGGTCGTTTTTTAACCCACTTCCCGTGATCCAATCGAGCTGACATTTTCCACACAGACTCGTTGTGCCAGACAATTATTGTTCGTGAAAAAAATTCCCAAAATTGTACACTTTTTAGGCAAAAAAAAATATTTTACATATATTCAAATAGAACGCATTCATGTCTTTGGCTGAACGTCAGAGTGTAAGAGCCCAGAGCGTAACCCCTCCACAGGCCGTGGCGGAGTAGCGCAGTTGGTAGCGCCCTCGCTTCCCATGCCAAAGGTCGCGGGATCGATCCCCGCGTCCTCCACAGGCGAATATATTTTTAAATCCTTTATATTAAGTTCGCCGCCACCCATATAAAGGATTTATAGTGAAAAACTTTGTTTTTACGGGTTTACTTGTTACAAGGAGTCATGTTTGCATTGACCACAATACCTGCGGTCGGTTTTGTTGCCAGATACAAGGGTAAAAAAATTAACCCGTAAAAACAAAGTTTTTCACTATAAATCCTTTATATGCGTGGCATCGGGGCGGCTAGAGTCCTCTCGTCCTCTGGCTTGAGATGGCTGCCACCTATGGGTCAGATGATTGTCTGCCAGTATTAAGCAATTGGTAATTAAATATTTAATTGTTTTCCCTAAACAGTGTAAAATTTTGGAAAAAAATTTTTCACGAACATTAGTTGTCTCGCACAACGAGTCTGTGTGCAAAATGTCAGCTCGATTGGATCACGGGAAGTGGGTTAAAAAACGACCGAAAGATTTGCACGGTCGTAAGCAAGCAAGCAAGCACGCAAGCACGCGAACTTAATATAAAGGATTTAAAAAACAATTATCATATTTTGCTACTGGAAAAGGAGGTTCCAATGGTGTAAATGCTTACCCCGAGCTCTCATACTCTGATGGTGCATTGTCTTTGAGTTGTGCGCCTTTTGGCGTCATCTGGTCCAACACCATGTGAGACTAGGCTCTAAGAAAAGCTGTCTCGGGTGTGGACCAATCAATTTCAAGGACAGTGCATACATTATCAGAGTTGTGTTTTTTGTTTGCATTCCGACCGCAGGTATTGTGGTCAATGCAAACATGACTCCTTGTAAAAAAAGGTGTCAGTTTTGTTGCCAGATAAAAGGGTTTTAAAGCCAATTATCACGTCACATAATCTGTTTGGCTTTACACCTTGGTCCTGGTGACGTCATTATTGTAAATACTGTACTGTAGAGTCATAGCTGTGACGTCATAACTATAACATCGCTGAAATTGCCATTTGACCCCGACCTTTCCCATGATTTCATCATTGTTGTAAATACTGTTACAAATGGTGTACATTCTAGATTTGAAATTTTCGTGACTGCAAGGATTCATACTCTTTGGTTTTTTCGGTAAAGTCACGTAGGTAAAACATTTAATAAATTAAATAAAATGAAAAATTTAAATAAATCAAATTACGACGTTTCGGGCGCAACACCACCCGAAGAAGGACGCTTGTGTTGCGCCAGAAACGTCGTGGATTTGATTTAATTTTATTTTAGTTGTTTTAATTAAATTTGATTTTATTTTTTTTATTTTTTACCCACGTGACTTTACCGAAAAAACCAAATGGTGTACAATATATGAACGCGTTAAACGGTGACGTCATGGAATATTTTACAAACACACCCTCTCACCCTGATGACGTCATTAGCACACCTTCCGTTGGTGAGACGAGAACGGAGACCTCACGGCATCAGCAATCGGGCTGGGAGGCAACCTCGCCGTGACGTCACCGCGCGTGATCTTTTTGTTTCCGTGACGTCACCGCCCTTGTTTACTTCTTCGCCGTGACGTCACAGCGTGTTTACGTCGCGGTGACGTCACGACGCGTTTGCCACCGCGTGACGTCACCACTGTTTATCCTCGGACTCTGCGGAGGAGGAAGCAGCGAGCGAAGGCTCCAGAGGACGACGAGGACGACGCCGAGGTGGAGTTGGTGGTGGACTAGAAGAGAGACAACGTGAGGGGGGAGGAGGAGGAGCAGCGATGGAGGGGACCGTGCGCTTGGACGTTCACGTCGGGGCTCGCGGGACGGCCCTCACCGTGGGCCTGGGCTGCCCGTGGAGGGACGTGGGCGCCATGGTGAGTGAGGGGACGATGGTGGGGGTGGTGGTGAGTGAGGGGACGATGGTGGGGGTGGTGAGTGAGGGGACGATGGTGGGGGTGGTGAGTGAGGGGACGATGGTGGGGGTGGTGGTGAGTGAGGGGACGATGGTGGGGGTGGTGGTGAGTGAGGGGACGACGGTGGGGGTGGTGGTGAGTGAGGGGACGATGGTGGGGGTGGTGGTGAGTGAGGGGACGATGGTGGGGGTGGTGGTGAGTGAGGGGACGACGGTGGGGGTGGTGGTGAGTGAGGGGACGATGGTGGGGGTGGTGAGTGAGGGGACGATGGTGGGGGTGGTGGTGAGTGAGGGGACGATGGTGGGGGTGGTGGTGAGTGAGGGGACGATGGTGGGGGTGGTGGTGAGTGAGGGGACGACGGTGGGGGTGGTGGTGAGTGAGGGGACGATGGTGGGGGGTGGTGAGTGAGGGGACGATGGTGGGGGTGGTGGTGAGTGAGGGGACGATGGTGGGGGTGGTGAGTGAGGGGACGATGGTGGGGGTGGTGAGTGAGGGACGATTGGTGGGGGTGGTGAGTGAGGGGACGATGGTGGGGGTGGTGGTGAGTGAGGGGACGACGGTGGGGGTGGTGGTGAGTGAGGGGACGACGGTGGGGGTGGTGGTGAGTGAGGGGACGATGGTGGGGGTGGTGGTGAGTGAGGGGACGACGGTGGGGGTGGTGGTGAGTGAGGGGACGACGGTGGGGGTGGTGAGTGAGGGGACGATGGTGGGGGTTGGTGGTGAGTGAGGGGACGATGGTGGGGGGTGGTGGTGAGTGAGGGGACGATGGTGGGGGGTGGTGAGTGAGGGGACGATGGTGGGGTGGTGGTGAGTGAGGGGACGATGGTGGGGGTGGTGAGTGAGGGGACGATGGTGGGGGTGGTGAGTGAGGGGACGATGGTGGGGGTGGTGAGTGAGGGGACGATGGTGGGGGTGGTGGTGAGTGAGGGGACGACGGTGGGGGTGGTGGTGAGTGAGGGGACGACGGTGGGGGTGGTGGTGAGTGAGGGGACGATGGTGGGGGTGGTGGTGAGTGAGGGGACGACGGTGGGGGTGGTGGTGAGTGAGGGGACGATGGTGGGGGTGGTGGTGAGTGAGGGGACGACGGTGGTGGTGGTGATGAGTGAGGGGACGACGGTGGTGGTGGTGGTGAGTGAGGGGACGACGGTGGTGGTGGTGGTGAGTGAGGGGACGACGGTGGTGGTGGTGGTGAGTGAGGGGACGACGGTGGGGGTGGTGGTGAGGGGTGATGGTGGTGAGTGAGTGAGGGGACGATGGCGGTGGTGAGGAGGGAGAGACGAGGGGACGATGGTGGTGGGGGTGGTGGTGGGTGGTGGTGAGGAGGGGGGGAGAGACGAGGGGTGATGGTGAGGAGGAGGAGGGGTGATGGTGAGGGTGATGGCGGTGAGGAGGAGGAGTGGAGAGGCGCTGACGGAGCGAGTTTCGGGCAGCCCGACCGAGTTGGATCCCAGGCGGCGGCTTCACGACGTCCCGTGGGGGGCGACTCGCGTCCAGACGATTCAGAGCCCCCCCCCCCCATCGCGCACGCCGACCCGCGTGGTGAAGTATGGTCAAAGCGTGACGACAACAACAACGACAACATCGACGACGTCTTTGACGAGAGATGCCTGAGCCAGGCCTGTGCCTAGCCCCCACCTCCCCCCTCTCTCTCTCTCTCCTGCGATGGTCCAATCGCCCTTAAACGGGCACCCGAGTCAGGCGTGCGAGCCGAAACGTCGACACTGGGAAGACAAAGGCGGCCGGGCTGGGGTATTTGCCGCTCAACTGCGACGTCGCTCGTCACAACCGCCCCGGCTTGCACCGAGTGTGGGGGGCACGGGGGGGGGGTTGTTGTTGATCAGTGTGGGGGGCACGGGGGTTGTTGTTGTTGTTGATCAGTGTGGGGGGCACGGGGGGGGGTTGTTGTTGATCAGTGTGGGGGGCACGGGGGGGGGTTGTTGTTGATCAGTGTGTGGGGCACGGGGGTTGTTGTTGTTGTTGATCAGTGTGGGGGGCACGGGGGGGGGGTTGTTGTTGATCAGTGTGGGGGGCACGGGGGGGGGTTGTTGTTGATCAGTGTGTGGGGCACGGGGGTTGTTGTTGTTGATCAGTGTGGGGGGCACGGGGGGGGGGGTTGTTGTTGATCAGTGTGGGGGGCACGGGGGTTGTTGTTGTTGATCAGTGTGGGGGGCACGGGGGTTGTTGTTGTTGTTGATCAGTGTGGGGGGCACGGTGTGGGGGGGGTTGTTGTTGTTGATCAGTGTGGGGGGCACGGGGGTTGTTTTGTTGTTGATCAGTGTGGGGGGCACGGGGGGGGGGGTTGTTGTTGATCAGTGTGTGGGGCACGGGGGTTGTTGTTGTTGTTGATCAGTGTGGGGGGCACGGGGGGGGGTTGTTGTTGATCAGTGTGGGGGGCACGGGGGGGGGTTGTTGTTGATCAGTGTGTGGGGCACGGGGGTTGTTGTTGTTGTTGATCAGTGTGGGGGGCACGGGGGGGGGGTTGTTGTTGATCAGTGTGGGGGGCACGGGGGGGGGGGTTGTTGTTGATCAGTGTGGGGGGCACGGGGGTTGTTGTTGTTGATCAGTGTGGGGGGCACGGGGGGGGGGTTGTTGTTGATCAGTGTGTGGGGCACGGGGGTTGTTGTTGTTGTTGATCAGTGTGGGGGGCACGGGGGTTGTTGTTGTTGATCAGTGTGGGGGGCACGGGGGTTGTTGTTGATCAGTGTGGGGGCACGGGGGGGGGTTGTTGTTGTTGATCAGTGTGGGGGGCACGGGGGGGGTTGTTGTTGTTGATCGAGGTGGGGGCATGGGGGGTGGGGGTTGTTTTTGTTGATCAGTGTGGGGGCACGGGGGGGGGGGTTGTTGTTTTGTTGTTGTTTTGTTGTTGATCGAGGTGGCGAGACGGACCTTTCGTGTGTTTGGGGTTTCACTGTTGACGCTCATCTGGGGGGGGGGGGGGGGTGGTCAGTCACCCCCATTGCGCCTGGGGGTGAGTTCACAGCTCGCGAGGTGCACCTAGCCTGGCACGAGAGCACCTAGCCTGGCACGAGCACCTAGCCTGGCACCTAGCCTGGCACGAGCGCCGCGTGCGCTCTCACGGCCCCGCGGCCGCGCTGCTCCGCTTGGTGGTGGTGGTTGTGGTGGTGGTTGTTGTGGTGGTGGTTGTGGTGGTGGTGGTGGTTGTTGTGGTGGTTGTGGTGGTGGTTGTGGTGGTTGTTGTGGTTGTTGTGGTGGTGTAATGGAGGAGGAGGAGGAAGGAGCGGGTATTGGGGTAGCTGTGACGCAGTCGCCGCCGCGGGTTGAATTCTCAACAAACGATGACGTCGACTTGTTGTTGTCGGTGGTCAATCCACTGCTGGATGGACGGACGTTTAATTCTCTCATCATCATCACGGTGGCCAGGAAATGTTAACTACCTCGCCTGGTGTGCAGGAGGTCGTGGGTTCGATCCCGACCCCTGACACCTGCTGTATATTTGGAGTTTGCGTGTCTCTCTCTCCGTGGTGAGATGTTAACTACCTCGCCTGGTCTACAGGAGGACGTGGGTTCGATCCCGACCCTGACGCCTGCTGCTGTATATTTGGAGTTTGCGTGTCTCTCTCTCTCTCATCATCATCACGGTGGTAGGAGATGTTAACTACCTCGCCTGGTGTGCAGGAAGTCGTGGGTTCGATCCCGACCCCTGACGCCTGCTGCTGCTGTGTATTTGGAGTTTGCGTGTCTCTCTCATCATCATCACGGTGGCTATGAGATGTTAACTACCTCGCGTGGTGTGCAGGAGGTCGTGGGTTCGATCCCGACCCCTGACGCCTGCTGCTGTATATTTGGAGTTTGCGTGTCTCTCTCTCTCTCATCATCACGGTGGCTATGAGATGTAACTACCTCGCCTGGTATACAGGAGGACGTGGGTTCGATCCCGACCCTGACGCCTGCTGCTGCTGTGTATTTGGAGTTTGCGTGTCTCTCTCTCGTCATCATCACGGTGGTAGGAGATGTTAACTACCTCGCGTGGTGTGCAGGAGGTCGTGGGTTCGATCCCGACCCTGACGCCTGCTGCTGCTGTGTATTTGGAGTTTGCGTGTCTCTCTCATCATCATCACGGTGGCTAGGAGATGTTAACTACCTCGCCTGGTGTGCAGGAGGTCGTGGGTTCGATCCCGACCCCTGACGCCTGCTGCTGTATATTTGGAGTTTGCGTGTCTCTCTCATCATCATCACGGTGGCTAGGAGATGTTAACTACCTCGCCTGGTCTACAGGAGATCGTGGGTTCGATGCCGACCCCTGACGCCTGCTGCTGCTGTATATTTGGAGTCTGCGTGTCTCTCTCCCCGTGGTCGCGTGAATTTTTCTCCGGGTCCTCCGGCTTTTTCCCCCCACGCGTTTAGAATGTGACCGCGATACATTGCCACACGATCATGATGATGATGGTGATGAGCCACTTCGATAAGCTACCACTTGTGATAGCCAGGTTGCCTGTAAAGAAGAAGCAGCAGCAGCAGCAGCTACATAGCTCAGTGGACCTGGTAAAATACAAACTTGTTTATTTTATCTCTACGGCATCGCCATCTCGCCCGGTCTTGCCATGGAGGAGGCGGCAATCCACCGCGCTGCCGTGATCCGATTTCACCGCTCCGTCTCTGCAGCGATTGTCCCCAATCCCTCCGCGTCCTCCAGCCCAAGCTCACTCGCGGTGTGTGGTTTTATTTTGTAGCATTCGCCTGTGACTGATGTTCTCTTAACTTTGCTGTCTTCTAAAGCCTTCCTTCCCAAGAAGGAAGATTTAGCGTTGCTATGGGACCTTTTAGGCAGTATTAAGGCGATGAAAAAGAATAGGCTTCACCCTTTGTTGCCAATAAAAGAGGTGTTAAGATGATAGAACTGGCACGAGCCGAGCTTGTTAATACTTTGATATTTACATTGCCTGAGCAAGTGCCCACCCCCTCGTGAGCCGTAGCCGGCCTTCATAGGTGCTACACGCGAACAGCACTTGCCCTAACAGTTTGTTAAGGCTACACGGGGGATCTTTGGCTTTGTACTCACGGCCAACACCAGTGACGATTGTCTGAACCGGTCCTGGGCCTCCCCTAGGTCCACTCGGCCTCAAGTGAGTACCTAGTGCGGTGTGTAAACATCGTCACCGGGGAAGACAAAGGCGGCCGGGCGTGGTGCTGACCGCCCGCCCCTTCGTGCGCCGTGCCGGCCTTCATAGGTGCTCGCTAACAGCACTTGCCCCAACAGTCTGTGAAGGCTACACGGGGGATCTTTGTCTTTGTTCCTCTCGTCAATAGAAAGTTCTCGAACAGTGGCCGAGTGGTTTCGTCCACTAGGGGCGTTGGATGAGCAGTGAAACCGAACAGCCGGAGATGATTAATTATTTTTTTTTCATTTAAAAAATACTTTTCTACAAATAGTTTTGTCGTGTTAAGTTTGTATATAAATATAATGAATTCTTTCAACGTGAATTGCCTAATGAAGATAACATTTTGAGTTGTTCGTTTTAGAAACGGCTGCAACCCCACAGTCTGATTTGTGCCTCGGGGAGGTCTCGGGACGGCCGTGAAGGCGTCCGAGTGAGAGGTTTCCCTTCGTTGGTGGCGATGAGCAGCATTGTGGCCACGCCAGAGGTCGCAAACGGGTTTTGTTTCCTTACCCGTACCCGTACCCGGCCACACCAGGGTCGCAAACGGGTTTTGTTTCCTTACCCGTACCCGGCCACACCAGGGTCGCAAACGGGTACCCGTACCCGGCCGGGTACGGGTACCCGTTCCCTACCCGTACCCTACCCGAAATGAGTGACAAACGGTTACTCAGCAGTGACTCACGGCCTACCCGTACCCGTACCCGGCCGCGCCAGGGTCGCAAACGGATACCCGTACCTGGCCGGGTACGGGTAGCCGGGTATCGGGTAGGGTACGGGTATCGGGTACCCAGTTGCGACCTCTGGAGATATGGCAGCAGCTGCGGCAAACGAAGAATTGGCGACGAATTCTGCGGAGTCACTTCTACGTATTCCATTTGAAAGGATGAAAGGGTTGTGTAGTGTGGAGGGTCACGAGTTGATTAGAGAGTTGTATCACTTATACCGTGACAAGGTTTTTCTGAATTAGAACACCGTATAATAATAGGGGTTTCCCCCTTCTTTCTGGCGACAAAACTTTGGAGGCCGCTTTCTTTTGAGGAAAGCTGTCTCTGATGTGGACCAATCAGTTTCAAGGACAATGCATAAATTAACGGAGTCTTGTTTTTTGTTTACATTCTGGCTGCAAGTATTGTGGTTAATGTAAACATGATTCCTTGCAAAAGGTTTCAGTTTTGTCGCCAGAGAAAAGGGGAAAAACCCTATCATTATATTTTGGTACTGGCAAAGGAGGCCTCGTGATGTAGAACACAATATTTCAGAGGTCACTCACAACAGCCCCAACTCGTTGAAATGCCACGAGCCGCCACTGGTTACAACGCTGACGCTCGCCACGAAAATATTTCAACTTTACTTTTCATGGTTGTCACAAGCGCTCAGAACTAGATATGCTATAAAAAACAATGCATCTCACTTGGTGAAATGTCTTTGTAAGTGGTTTGTGCGGCCTCTGGTGTGGACTTACCCCTGGGTGGCGCGCCACTGTGGTATAAATGCGGCATTGTAAGTGCGTCTGTGCTGTATGTTGACATTTGGTGTTCTGAATTCCTGCATTTTGCCCCTAGGGCTGTGTTTAGTTACCCTTGCCAGAAATGCAAACGTGCTGTTCCCCTCGGCTGCCACGTGGTTGGTTCCACAAGATTTTGTATATGGGGTGCCCACAGTGGTTAGGAGATGTTAACTACCTCGCCTGGTGTACAGGAGGTCGTGGGTTCGATTCCGACTCTGACACTTGCTGTATATTTGGAGTTTGCGTGTCTCTCTCATCATCATGACATTGGCTAGGAGATGTTAACTACCTCGCCTGGTATACAGGAGGTCGTCGGTTCGATTCCAACCCTGACACTTGCTGTGTATATTTGGAGTTTGCGTGTCTCTCTTTCTCTCATCAGCATCACATTGGCTAGGAGATGTTAACTACCTCGCCTGCTATACAGGAGGTCGTCGGTTCGATTCCAACCCTGACACTTGCTGTGTATATTTGGAGTTTGCGTGTCTCTCTTTTTTCATCAGCATCACGGTGGCTAGGAGATGTTAACTACCTCGCCTGGTGTGCAGGAGGTTGTCGGTTGGATCCCGACCCTGACATTTGTTGTATATTTGGAGTTTGCGTATCTGTCATCCCGAAGTCGTCTGGAATTTTCTCCGGGTCTTCTGGTTTTTTCCCCCTCTACATTTGGAATCAACATCACCCGCTATGGAGTATTTTGCTGCCGCTATAAATGTCCACGTGATGATAAGCCACTTCGTTCAGCTATCATTTGTGGCGAGGTCGCCTCTGAAAAATCGCTCTATAGCTCAGTGGGCCTTACCTGTTAAAATAAAATAAAAAACTATAGTACCTATTATAACTCTTAACTCTTTCTCGCTCAACTGCTAGATGGAAGAAGGCAATTCCCGCTGCAGTGTTGGTCATTGAGGGGGTGGGGGTTGTTTGACCATACTTCACCACGCTGGTCCGTGCCGGTTGGAGGGAGAGGGAGGGGTGAACACAGGACCGGTTCAGGTATCACTTGCCACCGTTTTGAGTTCGGAATGTTTATTTTAACAGAATCAGAACGTGTATTTAGACTGCTGGAGGAATTCGTTGAGCCGTGAAGCTCTTTTTCACACGCGTCCAGTCGAGGGCATGGGGCCAGAAAGTTTAGAACAACAAACAATACAAAAACACGAGTGCAAAGTATGTGAAAGGTGAATGAATCACACAAAAACTTCCCAGGTAAATCCTGCTGAGTCATCGTTGTCAGAAGCAACCGAGACCAGATATCAGAGCTCAACAAAGTGGCTTATCGTGTAGAGCAGTCAAATAAGCTAAAGACTCTTAAACGCGTAATATCAATTCTAAATGCGGAGGGAAAAACCGGAGGACCCGGAGAAAAAAAAATCCACGCGACCACGGGGAGAGAGAGAGAGACACGCAAACTCCAAATATACAGCAGCAGGCGTCAGGGTCGGGATCGAACCCACGACCTCCTGTGCACCAGGCGAGGTAGTTAACATCTCCTAGCCACCGTGATGATGAGAGAGAGAGAGACACGCAAACTCCAAATATACAGCAGCAGCAGGCGTCAGGGTCGGGATCGAACCCACGACCTCCTGTATACCAGGCGAGGTAGTTAGCATCTCCTAGCCACCGTGATAATGAGAGAGAGAGACATGCAAACTCCAAATATACAGCAACAGGCATCCGAGTCGGGATCGAAGCAACGACCTCCTGCATACCAGGCGAGGTAGTTAACATCTAGCCACCGTGATGATGATGAGAGAGAGAGATAGAGACACGCAAACTCCAAATATACAGCAGGCGTTAGGGTCGGGATCGAAGCAACGACTTCCTGCACACCAGGCGAAGTCTTTACCATCCCCTAAGTGGTTACAACTTTAAGCTCATGGCAAATTTGGATGTGGTGGTGGTGAGTGGGAGGTGTCCCTCGGTCTGTCGCCGCAGCTGATGTTTTTGTTTCTGCAGATCCTCGCGTCTTTTGGACTGGCGAGCGCGCACTACACTTACCTGGACGAGGACAACGAGGAGGTACGTGCAACAGAGACCCCCCCGGCTGCCAGGCCCACACCGCCCTTCACCGCCCTTCACCGCCGGTGTTGCCAACCTTGGGTTGGTTTCAACGGAAACGTCCGGTCCGGCTTTATTAGCGGCCAGTATATTTGACGATTCGTAATTTAGTTGTTTCGCGACGGGTTAGGACAAGCGCATTCCCAACCTTGTGGTCCTCTCGCCGACCGCCAGGGGTCCGCAAGGCCGCGGAAAATAATAATAATAAAGACATCCTCACCACAATTTCAGGAAAAGAATATTTAATTATAGTGGGGAAATCCTATGAGCTCTTAAGCTCTTTTTTCACGGACGACCCGTAGGGGTACGGGAGTCGGAACGTGACAACAACAAGCAGTGCAAAAACACGATAGCAGTGCCAAGTATAAGAAAAGTAAGCAAATCACTTTTTAAAAAATATGCAAATAAAATTAAACATTTTTTTTTAAATCTTACCAGGTAAGACTCAGCGAGCCGGTAACTCGCAGCCAAATTTCAAACAACTGCTCGTGCTAGCGTGTGATGCTGGTGTTGGCCCGCAAAATGTTTAGAGGTTGTAAAGGGGCCCGCTCACTCGAAAACGTTGGGAACCGCCGGGTGAGCCACGCACTGATCGGGCCAAAATCTGAGACCATCCGCCGCCCGACGCAGACAAACAAGATGAAACGTCCACGTGTACGAACGTTACTCATTCACACGGCTCGCTCGCAGGCTGTAGCGGAAGAGAGCGGCCCCCGCAGCCAAAGCAAACGAGTAGGCGGCGCTCCGCTCAGCTCGAACGGCGAGTTCGCCCTACGGCTGACGCCGCGTTTGGCGGGGACGCGTTCCCAGTCCCCGTGCCGCTACTCCGTCTTTTAATAGACGTGGCAAGTCACCCAGCGGCTATGTTGACAACGCTTGGAAGGAGGAGTCCGGAGCGACGGCTGCGAGCCGATTGAGACTCGTTTGGTAAAGTTTCCTCTTTTTTAAGAGTTGCCAGGCTCTCTGTTCTAGACTCGGGGTTTGGAGACTAAAATAGGTAAACGGCGGGTCTCTGAAAGCGACGCCACGCAATTATAGATGGACACGTCAGTTTTTTTTTATACAGCGTTACTCGAAGTTAAGGGCACGAAGCTTCTCTTGCAGCAGATAAATATTTAAGGGTCCGATGATTTCAGCCTCGTAAATCACGTCGGGGAAAACCCAGACGTGGGCGGTCGTGCGCGCACAGGGATAGAGACGCACACACACCGTGATAGAGACACACACACACACACAGTGATAGAGACGCACACACACACACAGTGATAGAGACACACACACACACAGTGATAGAGACACACACACACACAGTGATAGAGACACACACACACACAGTGATAGAGACACACACACACACAGTGATAGAGACACACACACACACAGTGATAGACACACACACACACAGTGATAGACACACACACACACACAGTGATAGACACACACACAGTGATAGAGACACACACACACACAGTGATAGACACACACACACAGTGATAGAGACACACACACACACAGTGATAGAGACACACACACACACAGTGATAGAGACACACACACAGTGATAGAGACACACACACACACAGTGATAAAGACACACACACACACAGTGATAGAGACACACACACACAGTGATAAAGACACACACACAGTGATAGAGACACACACACACACACAGTGATAGAGACACACATACACACAGTGATAGAGACACACACACACAGTGATAAAGACACACACACAGTGATAGAGACACACATACACAGTGATAAAGACACACACACACAGTGATAGAGACACACACACACAGTGATACACACACACACACAGTGATAGAGACACACACGGGGATAGACACTCATACACAGTGATAAAGACGCACACAGTGATAGAGACACACATACACAGTGATAAAGACACACACAGTGATAATGACACACACACACAGTGATAGACACACACACACAGTGATAGAGACACACACACACAGTGATACACACACAGTGATAGAGACACACACACACAGTGATACACACACACACACAGTGATAGAGACACACACACACAGTGATAGACACACACACACAGTGATAGACACACACACACAGTGATAAAGACACACACAGTGATTCACACACACACAGTGATACACACACACACAGTGATAGAGACACACACACACAGTGATAAAGACACACACCCAGTGATAGAGACACACACACACACAGTGATAAAGACACACACACACAGTGATAAAGACACACACACACCGTGATAGAGACACACACGGGGATAGAGACACACACACACACACAGTGATAAAGACACACACACACACAGTGATAAAGACACACACACACAGTGATAGAGACACACACACACACACACAGTGATAGAGACACACACACACAGTGATAGACACACACACACAGTGATAGACACACACACACAGTGATAGAGACACACACACACAGTGATAGACACACACACAGTGATAGAGACACACACACACAGTGATAGACACACACACAGTGATAAAGACACACACATGGGATAGACATGCACACAGTGATAGAGACACACACACACACGCTGGGGGAGCAGTGGGATTGAACCAAGAATATTCCCAAGTCCCATGCCGTGTCAGGTGATGCTGCGTCTCATTTTCTCTCTCCACAGGTGTCCATCGACACTGAAGGTAGGGCGGCGCAACAAAGCATCCCCTGCACAACACAATAAAGACAAAGATCGCCCGTGTAGCCTCGGGCTTCCGGAGGGAAAGTGCCTTTGGCGAGCGCCTGTGAGGGGCCGGCACGGCACACGTGGCCACCACTCCCACGCCCGGCCCGCTTTGTCTCCGCCCAGTGGCGGCGTGTACACGCGGCACACGAGTGCTCGTTTAATCAGAAGCTGAGTCTTTATGTGGACTGCAAGGCGGAGCAATCCGATGGGCTGTGAAGCTCTTTGTTTCTTGCAGAGGTCTCTCTAGCGTGGGTCACGGGGTCGGCGGGTTTACAACAGCGAGCGATGCAAAAACTTAACGACAGCAGTGCAAGATGGAGAAATGGGTGTTAGCGGGTCACTAAATATCACAATAATGATCAATTGCTCCCTGATTTAAATCTGATTTATCGAGAGCTTTGTCAGGGCAGCAAAAATAATAAGAGACGGAGTCACGGGCCACAACGAGTTGGCACCACAACGGCGGTAGTTAGTCGTTCGGCAAGATGGCGTGTGGACATTTAAGGCCGAGCTGACCTAGGGGGGAGGCACACAGGACCAACGTTTTCTCATGAGCAGCGGGTGGAATCGGTTTGTAGCGCGGTGCACCCTGCTCGGATGCCGCCCGTGTCCGGATGATTTTATTAGGAAGCACCTTGAAATCTAGATTGAAAAACTCATTTCTATCGAACGGCTTTTCGTGTCACCATTGGAACCTCATTTGCCAGTAAAAAATATGATAATTGGTTTTTTACCCTTCTATCTGGCAACAAAACTGACACCTTTTTTACAAGGAGTCATGTTTGCATAGACCACTACCGCAGTCATAATACAAAAAAAAACATAACTCTGATAATGTACATATACATACATTATCAGAGTTGTGTTTTTTGTTTGTACATATACATACATTATCAGAGTTGTGTTTTTTGTTTGCATTATGACTGCAGGTATTGTGGTCTATGCAAACATGACTCCTTGTGAAAAAGGTGTCAGTTTTGTTGCCAGATAGAAGGGTAAAAAAACAATTATCACGGCTTTTCGTGTGTCTAGTTTGTTATCCTTCCCCCCCCACGCACACGTCCGATGAGCACGGATGGCTACGTACGGCGCGAATGAAGTTGAACAGAAGACGCCCACCCCAGCCAGCCTGTGTTTAGAAATAATCTTTTACAAAATCTGGTTGCTGTGAGGCTCGGTTGGGACTTGATGACGGCATTAAGACTCTGACCTTTATTACCTCCAAATGGGGGCAAAGCTAAAACACACACGCACACTGATTGTGCACCGCCCTCGGCCATAACCTTCCAGTGTTCAAACAATTTCCTGCAAAAAGTGTCTCGATTGGAATCGTCGTACAGTAGCGGCGGCGGCAGCAACATCGCTCGCCCCACCCGCACAGCCCGTGACCCAGAGTGTGAGCGTGTGAGTGTGTGAGCGTGTGATTGTGAGCACGGTGAGCGTGTGAGTGTGAGCGTGTGAGTGTGTGAGCGTGTGATTGTGAGCACGGTGAGTGTGAGCGTGTGAGTGTGTGAGCGTGTGATTGTGAGCACGGTGAGCGTGTGAGTGTGAGCGTGTGAGTGTGTGAGCGTGTGATTGTGAGCACGGTGAGTGTGAGCGTGTGAGTGTGTGAGCGTGTGATTGTGAGCACGGTGAGCGTGTGAGTGTGAGCGTGTGAGTGTGTGAGCGTGTGATTGTGAGCACGGTGAGTGTGAGCGTGCTAGCGTGTAAGCGTGTGAGCGTGTGCACGGTGAGTGTGAGCGTGTGAGTGTGTGAGCGTGTGATTGTGAGCACGGTGAGCGTGTGAGTGTGAGCGTGTGCACGGTGAGTGTGAGCGTGTGATTGTGAGCACGGTGAGTGTGAGCGTGCTAGCGTGTAAGCGTGTGAGCGTGTGAGCGTGTGCACGGTGAGTGTGAGCGTGTGAGTGTGTGAGCGTGTGATTGTGAGCACGGTGAGCGTGTGAGTGTGAGCGTGTGCACGGTGAGTGTGAGCGTGTGAGTGTGTGAGCGTGTGATTGTGAGCACGGTGAGTGTGAGCGTGCTAGCGTGTAAGCGTGTGAGCGTGTGAGCGTGTGCACGGTGAGTGTGAGCGTGTGAGTGTGTGAGCGTGTGATTGTGAGCACGGTGAGCGTGTGAGTGTGAGCGTGTGCACGGTGAGTGTGAGCGTGTGAGTGTGTGAGCGTGTGATTGTGAGCACGGTGAGTGTGAGCGTGTAAGCGTGTAAGCGTGTGAGCGTGTGAGTGTGTGCACGGTGAGTGTGAGCGTGTGAGTGTGTGAGCGTGTGATTGTGAGCACGGTGAGCGTGTGAGTGTGAGCGTGTGCACGGTGAGTGTGAGCGTGTGAGTGTGTGAGCGTGTGATTGTGAGCACGGTGAGCGTGTGAGTGTGAGCGTGTGCACGGTGAGTGTGAGCGTGTGAGTGTGTGAGCGTGTGATTGTGAGCACGGTGTGTGAGCGTGCTAGCGTGTGAGCGTGTGAGCGTGTGAGCGTGTGCACGGTGAGTGTGAGCGTGTGAGTGTGTGAGCACGGTGAGTGTGAGCGTGCTAGCGTGTAAGCGTGTGAGCGTGTGCACGGTGAGTGTGAGCGTGTGAGAGTGTGAGCACGGTGAGTGTGAGCATGCTAGCGTGTAAGCGTGTGAGCGTGTGCACGGTGAGTGTAAGCGTGTGAGCGTGTGCACGGTGAGTGTGAGCGTGTGAGAGTGTGAGCACGGTGAGTGTGAGCATGCTAGCGTGTAAGCGTGTGAGCGTGTGCACGGTGAGCGTGTGAGTGTGAGCACGGTGTGAGTGTGAGTGTGTGAGCACGGTGAGTGTGAGCGCGTAAGTGTGAGCGCGTGAGCGCGTGAGCGTGTGCACGGTGAGTGTGAGCGTGTGAGTGTGTGAGCACGGTGAGTGTGAGCGCGTAAGTGTGAGCGCGTGAGCGTGATGCAAGGGTTGCGTCATGAAGTGCCTTGACTCGCTGTTGTGTTTTCGCAGAGGAATACGGCGAAGCGCTCAAGGTGAGATGCGCGTCACTCGCCCATCACCTGACACGCTCGCTCACACGCACACGCCTGTCACACGCACACGCCTGTCACACGCACACGCCTGTCACACGCACACGCCTGTCACACGCACACGCCTGTCACACGCACACGCCTGTCACACGCATACGCCCGCTTACCCACGCACACTCGTGTGTACACGCTCATGTACGAAATGTGTTTTTACCCGCCCCAATCGGACGTTTGTGAAAAAGCGCTTTACAGCTCATTGGATTCCTCCAGTGTAAATGAATATTCAGATTCTGCTCAGGCTCACAGAACGCCCGCACACGCTCGCACACTCGCGCACTAACACAGTGTACAAAACCAGACATGCACACACAGATACAAATAAGGTCTCCCATACAGCCACCAATAGTCTCCCTGGGGCCGATGTTTACACACCGCACCAGGTACTAAGGCTCAGTCGACCTATGGAAGGCCCAGGCCTGGATCTGAACTCACGAATGATGCCGGCCCTGAGCCGGTCAGCGAACTTGGGTTGGCGGGTTCGTAGCGCAGTACCCTAACTACTGTGCCACCACTCCCCCTGCCATCCCACCCACGCACGTACACACACACGTACACACACACACACGCGTACACATGTACACACACGCACACGTACACACGTACACACACACACGTAGACACGTACACACACGTCGTACACATGTACACACACGTACACACACACGTACACGTACACACGCGTACACATGTACACACACGTACACACACACGTACACACACGTACACACACGTACACACGCACGTACACACACGCGTACACGTACACACGCGTACACATGTACACACACGTACACACACACGTACACACACGTACATCATGTACACACACACTGTACACACGTACACACACATGTACACACGTACACACACGTACACACACACATGTACACACACACGTACGCACGTACACACACGTACACACGTACACACACACTGTACACACGTACACACACATGTACACACACACTGTACACACGTACACACATGTACACACACACGTACGCACACATGTACACGCGCATACCTGGCTGGGCGTGACTACGAGCAGAGCCGATGGAAGTTAACCCCCCCCCCCCCCCCGAGGGTGGTGGAGGGAGGGGCACTGTCGTCCGTAACTAAACAATACCGTGCCGTGTTTAGCTCTTGCGTAACATTGCTGGCAGCGGGCAGTGAGTGTTCACCGTAGTCAGGGGACTCAAAACAACGCAAAGACCGTGTTGTGGTTATAAATACCAACGGGGATAATTGTTTGGATGTGAGCCAAGAGTTGGCCTACTGGCCAAGTTGTCCTGAATCCACCCGATGATGGGTTTAACCGGCAGCCTCTGGATTAATTCTAGATTTGAAGCTTTCGTGACTGCAATGATTCATATTCTTAGGTTTTTTTCGGTAAAGTCACGTAGGTTAAAAAATTAATAAAAGTAAAATAAAATAAAAATCACGACGTTTCGGAGGCAACACAAGCTTCCGTCTTCAGGTGGTACCGTCACAGCCACGACAGCTGTATCAACTAGTAGCTCCTGCAATCTCTCATTTACTTGATACAGCCGTCGTGGCTGTGACGGTGCCACCTCCGAAACGTCGTGATTTTTATTTGATTTTACTTTTTAATGTTTTTACCTACGTGACTTTACCGAAAAAACCTAAGAATAAGCCTCTGGATTGCGTGCGTGGAGCTCGCAAATCTGTTAAAGATCTGGCCACGGTGCCATCGGTGAGCTCATCCGGCAGGCGACGCGGCCTTGGCTGTGTCGTGTAGCCCGCATGCCCAGCCACCGCTTGCCCAAGCTGCTTCTGTTTGGCCCGATCGAGGGGGCTAAACGAGTGCGGGCTAGAGAAGGGATGGACTGATGCGGTACAGGAGGATGTGGATCGGCCTCTATGGAGGAGGCTTGTAAAAGATGCTACTGGGCAGTTGGAGGCAATTGCCCTCCAACAAAATCGGAGGGCAGAGGAGTGATGCTCACAATAACGAGGAAAGTTCCAGATGCCTAAAACATCGCAAGTTGGCACAGGTGGTACATCTGCCAGCCATCTCAGTCATCCCATGGCACCTGGGTCTATCCCGTGACCTGCCAGCGAGCCTTCGGCACTTGACGCGGGCTTCGAGTGTACCTGGCGTGGCACAAGCGCTGTGGTGACTTCACCACCACATCGTGGCGAATGGTGGTGGTTGTATCTGCAAGTGTCTGTGCGTGCATGTGCACGTTCGTGTTTATTTATACAAAGGCGGCCGGTCGTGGTGCTGGCCACCCACCCCCTAACAGCGCTTTCGCCTACAGTCTGTTCGGGCTATATGGGTGATCTTTGTCTTTGTATGTATACAGGTGGCATGTGCTGATGGCTATGTTCTGCACATCACCGTCCACAACGAGGAATCAAGTTCAGGGACGGATGACTCCAGCAGCGGCAACGTCAGCGTCAGCAGCAGCAGCACCACAACAACCACAAGTGTGCAGGAGCCTGCAGCCGTCTTCATATCGCAGCAGCAGCAGCAGCAACAGCAGCAGCATTATGATGAACACCGCCACCGCCACCACCACCACCACCACGAAAAGCACCACCACCACCACCAACCTCATCACCACCACCATCACCACAAGCATCACCAGCAGCAGCTTGAGCAGCAGCTTCAGCAGCACCTTCAACAGCACCAGCAGCAGATTCAGCAGCACCAGCAGCAGATTCAGCAGCACCAGCAGCAGGTGCTGCAGTTCCAGCAGCAGGCTCAACAACAGCAGCAGCAGGCGGTGGTGCAGCAAGTGCAGGTGCAGCAAGTTGAGGAGCAGCACCAGCAGCAGGTGCTGCAGTTCCAGCAGCAGGTTCAACAGCAGCAGCAGGCGGTGGTGCAGCAATTTCAGGAGCAGCACCAGCAGCAGGTGCTGCAGTTCCAGCAGCAGGCTCAACCGCAGCAGCAGGCGGTGGTGCAGCAAGTTGAGGAGCAACAACAGCAGCAGCAGCAGCAGAAGAATCAGGTTTGTGAAGATTTGTACCCCGCTCGGGGAACCCGGCGCGTCTGCCACGCCAACCAATGAAACTCGTGGGCAGCGGTGATTCAACTTGGCTTGCTCCTCACCGCCGGCACGACCTGTTTGCTGGCGGTCACTCGCCGGGCTTGAGCAGCGTTTGCCGCCGTCGTACAGAGCCGAGCCGAGGCGAGGCGGGTGAAGAATGGCCCCGTTCTGCTGTGCACGACCCTTCTTGTAACCTTCGACCTCGGTTCGGCACGACTCGCCTTCGTGCGTCGGTACCGTCGCTGCCTTGCAGACGGCCCCGCGGGGCATCGCGCCGCGTGTCAACATCTTAAACACGATGGGTTGGAGGGAGGGGGGGGGGAAGGTCGCCCCGTTGCGCCGCGTGGATTTTTGTTGAAACGGATTCGGCAAGTTTTGATTTGGCCGTACGCAAGCCGGCGGGCGGCTGTTGCCTGGCGCTGGATGCAGCCGCGTGTTTGCAAATGGTCCGTTTTGCTCTCTGGTTTGAGTGCCAACATTTGGGGGAAGGTCACCCCACGTGATTTTCAACGGGGTGAATGATTGTCTGATAAGCACTGCAACTTATACGAAAGCTTCGCTCGTATCGGATCGCCGTTCCGAGATTCGTTTATGTCCCGCACACCCCTCTTATGGATGGACCGCCGAGCAGAGCTAACATACGAACGCCTTAAACTTTCGTTGGAGAGCTGTCAAATACCATTTTTTAATCTGCCCTAAATAAATATCCGGGGTCAAGGTGTTGGCGCGCTAAGTAGACACCGATCACGCTTTGCGTAGCCACGCACGCTCGTGGCGGGGAAAAAATGCGCGCAAAATACGGCTCTGGTAATCTTCGCATGTTCCTCGACTCTGCCTCCGTTGCGGGATTTGTGTTGATAAGGTGAGCAGCACACGGGCAATGCAATCGCCGACCACATGATTAGCTCCGGTTCAGCTTTCATAACTTGTGACACTGCCAACACAGGGTCCCGTGGTGACTTGGAAAGCGTAAAGAAAGTGACTGGGTGGTGGAGGGCAAATCGGAATGTGGTTTTGGGTTCACTCCTGCCATCGCAGTCACCCTAGCCATACGGTGATCCGGATCCAGCTTGTGGTAATGTGAACGGCATTTTGCAACTCCATTCCGCGTTTTCCTGATCAACCAACATGTTCGGTCCATATGCAGAGCACCTTCACTCAAGGCGCTTGCCATGGCGAACGAAACGGTGACAGGATGGAGTGCTGTAGTTGCAGGAGGTCGTGGGTTAAATCCCGACCCTGGCGCCTGCTGCTTTACATATGGAGTTTGCGTGTCTCTCCCGCCCCCGTGGTCACGGTCCTCCGGTTTTCCTCCTCCACTTTAAGAATCAACATCACGCATTTAAAAATATTCGGCTGCTACATATTTCCACGTGATAAGTCAATTTCGTTGAGCTGTCATTTGTGGCCAGGTCGCTTCTGATTTGAAAAAAAAACAAAAGCTACATAGCTCAGTGGGCCTTAGCTGGTAAAATTAAAAAAAAGATAGTCAACAGTAATAATGAAAAAGTCAGACCGGAGTTGCAAAGTGCCGCTGTAAGTAGGCGACGAGACGTCTCCGCGTGCGGCTGGTGGTGGTGGTGGCGGTGGTGGTGGCGGCGGCGGTGGTGGCGGTGGTGGTGGTGGCGGCGGTGGTGGTGGTGGCGGCGGTGGTGGCGGCGGTGGTGGTGGTGGTGGCGGCGGCGGTGGCGGTGGTGGTGGTGGTGGCGGTGGCGGTGGTGGTGGTGGCGGTGGTGGTGGTGGCGGTGGTGGCGGGGGCGGCGGTGGCGGCGGTGGCGGTGGTGGCGGCGGTGGTGGTGGTGGTGTGCGGATCTCATTTGGCCTTCTCATGCTGTGGACGCTGCCCGTGAAGGTGGACGAGACTCCGCTGGTGGTGACCCAGCGCCCGGACGTTGATGGCGGCGGCAGCAGCAGCAGCGGCGGCGATGATCCTGGTGACGTTGACGGTGATGGTGCCGCCACCGGTGGCGGTGGGGATGGTTTCCCGGTACCGCCCGGCACACCGCCTCCGTGGTTCCAGGAGTACATGGAGAAGGTGAGGGCAGCTTCTACGCGGCAAACCAGAGCCTGGGTTCGAGTTTCGACTTGGGCGCCTTTTTGCGTGGAGTGTGTATGATCTCTCCCTGTGCTACACAGAGTGAGTGGAGTTTGTATGATCTCCCCCTGTTCTGCAGTGAGAGTGAGTGAGTGGAGTTTGTATGATCTCTCCCTGTTCTACAGTGAGAGTCAGTGAGTGGAGTTTGTATGATCCCCCCCTGTTCTGCAGTGAGAGTGAGTGGAGTTTATATGATCTCCCCCTGTTCTACACAGAGTCAGTGGAGTTTGTATGATCTTCCCCTGTTCTACAGAGTGAGTGGAGTTTGTATGATCTCCCCCTGTTCTACACAGAGTGAGTGGAGTGTGTATGATCTCTCCCTGTTCTACACAGAGTGAGAACAGGGGGAGATCATATGACGGCTGTGACTCCCCCCGCCGTCCCCCCGTCCCTCTCCTCTGCTTCAGTTCCGAGAGAAAGTGGTGATGGACGTGACGGTCCGCGTGACCAAGGAGGTGCGGAAGAGCCTGGCTCGCGAGCTCGCCGGAGGCGTGCCGCCCAAGGGACACCCCCCCGGCAACGGGGCGGCCAAGGGACACCCCCCCGGCAACGGGGCGGCCCCCCCAGATCCTCGGGCTCGCGACTCGGACGAGCCGGACAACGGAGCTGGCGCCCGGGACGCCAAGTACGAGACCGCGGCGGGGACAGGCAGTACAAGTGGGACAGGCAGTACAAGTGGGACGGGCAGTGCAAGTGGGACAGGCAGTACAAGCGGGACGGGCAGTACAAGTGGGACAGGTGGGACAGGCAGTACAAGTGGGACAGGCAGTACAAGCTGGACTGGCAGTACAAGCGGGACAGGCAGTACAAGCGGGACAGGCAGTACAAGCGGGACAGGCAATGCTCATGGCATAGGAAGTACGGGGAAGTGCTAACGGGACGGGACAGTACCGTGATGAACACATACACCTGCCCCTCAACTGTGTTCAGCACCGGTTGGCTACGTGCGATGCAAAAGAAGTTCAGCATACACACACACACAAGCCCGCATACAGACGGGCGCTTGATATTATCATATATTATATAGCGTCTACTTACTCGGGTGAGGCCTCGCTAAGTCTCAAGACTCATTGTTTTTTTTTTGTTCATGAGAGTAGTTATTCAGCAGAGAGATGTTCTGGCACATGCCAGTTACATTGTGTGTGTGGGTGTGTGTGTGGGTGTGTGTGTGGATGTGTGTGTGGGTGTGTGTGGGTGTGTGGGTGTGTGTGGGTGGGTGTGTGTGTGTGGGTGTGAGTGAGTGGGTGTGTGTGGGTGTGAGTGGGTGTGTGTGGGTGTATGTGTGTGTGTGGGTGTGTGTGTGTGGGTGTGTGTGGGGGGGTGTGGGTGTATGTGTGTGTGTGGGTGTGTGTATGTGTGTGTGTGTTGGTGTGTGTGTGAGTGTGTGTGTGGGTGTGTGTGGGTGTGTGGGTGTGTGTGTGTGGGTGTGTGGGTGTGTGTGTGTAAGTGTGTGGGTGTGTGTGTGTAAGTGTGTGTGTGGGTGTGTGTGGGTGTGTGGCCTTGAAGCCGTGAGAAGAAACCGGGGATGCCAGAGGAAACCCATGCAGAACGGGGGGAAGAGAGAGAACACACAAACTCCACACACACACAAACTTCACACACACACACAAACTTCACACACACACTCCACACACACACACACAAACTTCACACAAACTCCACACACACACTCCACACACACTCCACACACACACACACAAACTTCACACACACACAAACTTCACACACACACACAAACTTCACACACACACACAAACTCCACACAGACACACACACTCCATACACACACACAAACTTCACACACAAACACACACACTCCACACACACAAACTTCACACACACACACAAACTTCACACACAAACACACACACTCCACACACACAAACTTCACACACACACAAACTTCACACACACACACAAACTTCACACACAAACACACACACTCCACACACACAAACTTCACACACACACAAACTTCACACACACACACAAACTTCACACACAAACACACACTCTCCACACACACAAACTCCACACACACACAAACTCCACACACACACACTCCACACATACACACAAACTCCACACACACACAAACTCCACACACACACACAAACTCCACACACACACACAAACTCCACACACACACACAAACTTCACACACACACAAACTCCACACACAAAGACAAGTAGTCTTGACAGACTGTAGGGGCAAGTGCTGTTAGCAAGCAGCACCTATGAAGGCCGGCACGGCACACGAGGGGGTGGGTGGCCAGCACCACGCCCGGCCGCCTTTGTCTCCCCAGTGGCGATGTTTACACAACTGAACCCGGTATTTGTTTTGAGGCTGAGTCGACATAGGGGAGGCCCAGGACCGGTTCAGATAATCGTGGTGTTGATGGCCGTGAACGGGAAACGGACTCGGGTCGTCGGGTTCCTTAGCGCCGCTCGCTAACTGCTAAACTAGCGTTCCACCCACAAAGACAAAGGTCCCCCACATAGCCTTAACAGACTGTTGTGGCAAGTGCTATTAGCAAGCACTTGTATCCACGCACACTTACACACTCATTCACTCTCACTTGCACTCACTCATTCACACTCGATCACACTTGATCACACGTGCGCTTGCACGTTAGACGCTCATCCGCGTGCGCACGGCGCCGCAAGGCGTCCGAGTCGTAGGGATGGAACCCTCCCCCCCCACCTCCCCGGGCGCCCTCCGTGGCGTGCTGCGAGGCAACAAGCGTCAGCGCCGGCGTGACCCCGTGCCCCCCCCCGCCCCTCCCACAGGCAGCGCCTGCGCGCCGAGAAGGAGCTCCTGCGCCTGGAGAAGCAGCGCCTGCGCGCCGAGAAGAAGCAGCGCAAGGCCGAGTTCCGCGAGATCAAGCGCCAGCTGAGCATGCAACGCTACGGCCGCGCCTGGGCCGGGGTCGCGGTCGCGGCCGGCGCCCCGGCGGGGGTGGGCGCTGCAGGCGGTGCAAAGAAGAAGCGGGAGGAGGAGCAGGAGGAGAAGGAGGAGAATTTCGAGGAGGCGGCGGCGGCGGCGGCTGCTCAGCTGGTTGCGCCCTCTCACATGTGAGCGGTTGCTGCGGTTGCTGCGGTTGCGGCGGTTGCGGCGGTTGCGTCGCGCCATCGTGAGATGTCGAACCCCTTAGGGGAAGTCTCGGACGCCCCCGTCATGTTGTCAGGGACCGGCCCGCGGAAGCGGATGTCGCGGAGCTACTGCTCGAGTGCAGCTTCAAGTTGTGCACGTCTACGTGAAACTCGTCTCGCGCCGTGCTACTCGAGGGTGCGGGAGGAAGGACGGCGAACTAAACGCACAAAGCAGCTGTAAGAAACGAGTTTGTCAATCTAGATCAGCGGTCGGGAACCTATGGCTCGCGAGCCATATATGGCTCTTCCGTGACGGCATATGGCTCCCAGACAATTTGAGTTGAAAAAAATAATAATAAAAAAATTCAAATAAAATCAGTTTGGAACTGATTTTAAAATACTTGTGATATTGCTTAATAATACTGTGTCATTTTAAAGTGAACAGAAATTAGTTTTGAAGATAAAATTTCTCGGGTCACGGATCCCGTGACCAGAAGTCGCATTAAAAGTAAGGCATATTTAATTTATTATACGTCAAAATACTATATGGCTGTCAATGAAATATATTAATAAATATATTGCGTTTATGGCTCTCCCAGTCAAAAAGGTTCCCGACCCCTGATCTAGATGATCGGCTCCCAGTAGCTTCCTCATATCGGAAGGAAGAGCATTCCAGACGGCCGCAAAGCGCATCTGAAAGCACCGAGCGATGCGGTGACCACCGCCTTGTTGGATGGCTCGCAGCCGAAAGCCGCTGCCGCCGCTGCTGCGAAGATGAGCGTCGTTCCGCGTGATGGTTTATGCACAGCCTGCCCACTCCCCTCCCCCCCCCAGCCCGGCGCTGGCGTGCGTCAACGCCGTGTTCGTGGAGGAGAATCTGCCCGACGGCACCCACGTGCAGCCCGAGATGCGCTTCATCAAGCACTGGCGCATGTGCAACACGGGCAACATGGCCTGGGACTCGCGCACCACGGTACAGCGGCAACAACAACAGCGGTGGCGGTGGTGACGTCACCCCGCGGCGCTCGTGCCAGGCTCGGTGCACTTTGAGGCTGTCACGTGAAGTGCGGATGGCTCGCTACTGGCAGGAGGGCACGGGGCAGACCCAGGTGTCACGGGTCGACTGAGACGAGTGGCCGATGCACCACCTGTGCCCCCTACTGCGCCAACTCGCGGCGTTTTAGCCGCCCGGCGCTCCGCTCGTTGTTGCGAGCGTCGCTCCTCCGCCCTCCGTTGTTGCTGGAGGGCGACTGCCTCCAAATGCCCAGTAGCAGCAGCGTCAATATTGCCTTGAACAGACTGTAGGGCCAAGGGCTGTTAGCGAGTAGCACCTGTGAAGGCCGGCATGGCACGCGAGGGGGTGGGCGGCCAGAGGGACCACGCCTTGCCGCCTTTGACTCCCCAACGCCGATGTTTACACGACGCGCACGAGGTACTCATTTAAAGCCGAGTTGACCTAGGTGAGGCACAGTGACTGGTTCAGATAATCGTCACTTGATGTTGACAATTCCTTCACGCAACCAAAAACAGCGGCAATATTTGAGCCAGTCCTGGGCCTGCCCGAGGTCGGCTCATCCTTCACAAAGGTACCTGGTGCCCTGGGCAGTCAACATCAACATGGGAAGAGACAAAGGCAGCCGGGCGTGGTGTTGGCCACCCACCCTCCTCCAGTAGCGTGCCGGCCTTCACAGATGATATTCGCTAACAGCACTTGCCCCAACTGTGTTCAGGCTATACGAGAGATCTTTGTCTCTTTTATCCACCCGTCTCTCTCTGTATATACGTACGCCCGGATCCGTCCATCCATACGCCCATCCTTACATTCCTGTGTGTCCATGCGTACGTATGTCCCTCCATACCTTCATACGTCCGTGTACATCCGTCCTTACAATCCTCTGTGTGCGTGTCCGTCCGTATATGTGCGTGTCCCTCCATACATATGCCTGGGTCCATCCGTCCTTAAATTCCTGTGTGTGTGTGTGTGTACGCGCGTGCTTGCCTGTCCGTGCGTTGTTTGTCCGCGACAGCTGCAGCTGCTGTGGGGAAACCTCTGCGTGGCGGTGAGCACGGGACGCGAGGTGAGCGTGCCCTTCCTGGCGCCGGGCAGCACTGGCACGCTCTCCGTGGAGTTTGTGGCCCCCGCGGCCGAGGGCACCTACACGTCGCACTGGCGGCTGGCGCACGAGGGCCGCCCCTTCGGACCCCGCGTGTGGGTCACCGTGGTGGTGGCCGACCCGCCCATGGGCCCCGAGGCCCACAGCTCCCCGACGCACTCCTCTACAGCGACGTGCGCAACACTCGCAAGGTGCCAACGTCGCCGCCGCCGCATTGTGTGATGCGTGTGTGGTGCGTGTGTTGTGTACATGTGTGTGTGTGGTTTGTGTGTGTGTACGTACGTGTGAATGTGTGTGGTGTGTGCGTGTGGTGTGTGCGTGTGCGTGTGTGGTGGTGCGTTGCTCGTGTCCGTGGTGCGCGCGTGTGTGTGGTGCATGTCTTCGTCTTTGGTGCGTGTGGTGCGTGTGTGGTGCGCATGTGTGGTGCGTACGTGTGTGGTGTGGTGTGTCCGTGGTGAGCGCGTGTGTGGTGCATGTCTTCGTCTTTGGAGCGTGTGTGCGAGCGTGGTGGTGACTTCATTGACGATTCTCTGAACCGGTCATGGGCCTCCCCCCTAGGTCGACTCGGCCTCAAATGAATACCCGGTGCAATGTGTAAAACATCACCACTGGGGAGACAAAGGCAGTTTGGCGTGGTGCTGGCCACCCACCCCCTCGCGTGCCGTGCTGGCCTTTCGTAGGCGCTCGCCAGTAGCCCTTGCTCCAACAGAGCCCGTTAAAGGCTATACGGGGGATCTTTGTCTTTGTGTGTATGAGACGCAGGCGATAGGTGGAGGTGTGTTGGGCGCGATTCGAGCTCTCGCTTGCGGAGCGGCGGTGCAGCGGTTAGCGCACTGCGCTTCAAAACCCAGCGGCCCCGAGTTCGAAACCCCGAGTTCGATTCCCGGCCATGACCAACGTCAGTCGCGGGCGATATCTTGACCCAATCGGGGCGGGGGCCCCTCAGCTCGGCTTTGTTGCGGTGTGCGTGAACACGGCATCGGTGTTGGTACACGCCACCACCTCGTACGCCGTGCCAGCTTTCATCGGTGCTCGCCGACAGCACTTGCCCCAGCGGTCTGCTAGAGGCTTATCTGGGGGCTGTCTTTGTCTTGGGTGCGTGCCGACGTAGGATCTGTCGTTCGAGCTGCTGCTGCCGGTGGAGGAGCAGAAGGTTCCAAGCAACACGCCGGTCGGTGAGTGAGTGGCACGGCACTGGGGACGGTGACGACCCGGCAATCGTCGCAATCACCACAGTTGT